ACGGAGCCGATGTTTTGCTTTCACGACTTACAACTGACAGCTATTTTACCGTTATTAGTATTGAATTATTCACTTTATATTTATATTAGGGCACTTAATCATGGTTACAACTTCGGTGTCTAATAAAATTTTTTCGTCAATTAACTTCAAAGTTTATCTATAAAACAGAGCAAAAAAAATTACTTCGTTATTTGGGAGCCCCACTTAAATATTTATTTTATTAATTAATACATAATCTGTGAATATTTTAACTGTCTTAGCAGCCACGGTTCATAAAATACTATTGTAAGGGAGTCTTAGTAATAGCGACCTTTTTTTTGCCTTTAGGTACAGTACCCTAAAAAGATGCACAATTTCTTATTCTTTTTGATATGATCTTGTTAAAGATAGACATGATGCTGTCCAACCTCCAACAACATCACAGCATCTTTAATTTTGTGGCTGCTGCTTGGAACTGAGACCAATTACTTCGTCCAATTCAATCCCAAAATAAGAGAATTTGTGCAAAACTTAAATTATCCAAAAATATTGATGTAATATACAAATGAAAATATGTATTTATTAAATGAATTTATGATTAATCTAAATAAGTACTCGTGTTGTAAGTAGCATCTAGTACGACATTCTTAACAATGATACGGTAATAAATTCCGAGTACCTAAATAAAGAAATCTAACATCATGAAAACACTAAAATCTGAATTGCGGACTCTAAGAGACGACAATAAAAAGTTTTATGGTTGTCCACGTAACTATCTACCTAACCACTTAATATCGTAGTCGCACGCTTATAACAAAATTGTTTTATCTTATGAATACAATCTAACAATGCAAATAAAAGAAACAAACATTGCTTCAATTTTTATTCTAGAATTCTTGTTTGTATATTAATAATTGTTTGTGAAAAACAAGAATCATTTACGATACTACGGGCCTGACAATAAAGATCGGATTGTAAGAACAGGTTTTACAGCTAATACATAGCTCAGTTTAACAATTCGCATTTTGCTGCGAAGCTCGGTTTTGTTCACAATTTGTAAAAAAAAATGTAAAGCCATTTTAAAAAACTATTGGAAGTCATAATCTTGATATTCTTTTGTTTATTGTTAATTAATATTGAATGTTTTTGTTTTCTTAAACACTTGATAATCTTTTTTGATTTTCGAAAATATTAGCTCCTAATCTCTAACAGACTAATTTCAACGTATCGCGCCTAAAGACATGTTCGAGAACAATATGCGTTCATTATTACAGATAATTCACAGAAATTCTATTCCATATTTAAATTATAGCATAAATTTATATTTTTATCGTATTACACACTAATCTCGATTTATAATACGCATTACCGACTATTACTTAGGTAGATTCTGTAATAGGTATTTCCAGAACTAACAGTTTAAAATAGTAAATTACTTTACCAAGGAATTGATCGTATAAATATCTACCAACATATCATAGGACAACGTAGTCATTGTTATTAGTTTATCGCATCGAGAATTTCATGGTCAATCAACAAATTAATTTAGTCACATGTTTCACGATAGCATTTTTCAATGACTTTAATAAAACTTGTCGATATATTGATACTCAACAACGTTGAATCATAATCACTAATGAAATATTTAGTAGGTTTTTTTATGCAAAAAAGTGAGATTAAAACTGATTACCACGCAAAACGTGATAAAGAATAACCCTCACGTTTCGTTTACTGAAATTGCGCTCATGTTCACTTATGACAAGGCTTTGTCCTAAAATTATGTGATGCTATTTGATATTTATTTATATACATTTTTATGTACTTAGCAGCAATAGTCGCTCTAACTATCAACTCGTTAAATTGAAAGAATATATCGGGTTAATCTTCAAACCATTTTCCCTTTTATTAGAAGTGGATATACCTTCCGAGCTAAATTAAGTCATTATAATAATAAAGCGTTATCTTATATTTAACGGCTTAGAAGATTTATGTATAAATCAACCAGTTGACATTTATCGACCCCTACATCAAATATTAAAGAGATTTATTAAAATTAGCAGTTTAGTTTTTTATTCTTAAGAGTTCTCAGTACTAAATTTTTGGTATAACCATTAAAAATATATAAATAATTAAAAAAACTAAAACCCACTTCAGGAAATCGAAAATAATTCTTGGTAAGAATAAAATCCTTAAACATTTAAGAAACTTCTTTTGAATTCACTTGAAATTTCTGTATTTTTTAATTCCTTTTGTAGAGATTAAGAATTGCTTTAGATTAATTTAGATGTTTTAAAATCAGGAGTGATTAAGCAGAAACCTAAAAGAAAATCGAAATTTTTAGTTATACAAAAACTATCGATTCAGTTCTCATAAAAAAAATGTAGAGCCCCCTTGGGATTTTTTTAAATCAAAAACGGTTGAAGATACTATGGAACATATCAACAGCCAAACTATTGTGATTGTAAAAATATTAAGACATTAAAATATTTAAACTGTGTACATGTTTTTAAACGTGACTGTACCTTTCAACGTGCTTTAAAAAGACAGTCTTTGTTACGAGACAATCGCGATACTTCAATAAGAGGCATGATCGGATTCTCGGGAGCCGACCGCTGTTCGCTGCCCATACAAACCAACATTCCCTTTGTTTACTAACTGACGTCTAATCTTCTCAACTGGACATTCTTTCACTACTTTGTAGGAGAAAACTGATACTACTGCGTGCGCTGACTTTAAAGACTATCCAATCTAATAATTCCAGATTATTTCTCAAGCTTTATGCGGCTATTCACATATAATTTTATGTATAATAACGTTTTTTACCCGGCTACGGCAAACGAAAAGGAGGGTTATGATTTTGGTCGATATGTATGTATGCATGTATGTAAGAATGTTGATCTGTTCCTTTATAACTTCGAATCTACTCATCGCAACTGGATTGAGGTATCCTTAGAAGCATCTTAAACAACTAAGACTATAGCACGCGTACCACAACAGTTTTTTGTTATGATCAGTAGCATACGACTACGCTGTCCTTTAATCATCGCTATTATAATATAACTGTCGCTATAAAATAAATTTCTTGTTTCAAACTTTTTAGAGCGTGATTTAAGTGTAGTCAGGTTTTAGTTTTGAACTTATTTTTTTCTAATACAAGTAAGAAGAAACGTTTATTCGTGTTGAGATTTATTAAAAAGTCTTGTTTAACACGAGTTCATAAATTACTTTTGACAATATTATCAAATGAATAGAACATCACAAAAAATCTTCATTCCTGTTAGTTCAGTGGATAGAGCAGTCGCCCGGATTGCGAAAGGATCTCATATTCCCAGGGTCAAAGTGGATTTTTAAGAATCTTATAGTATTGTGAATGCATAATTGATCAAATATAATAATTCAATTAATTGATTTCATAAAAATCAACTTAGTAACGAGAAGTCGTTAATAAGAGGACAATTTCTATAGTACACAATTATTAATATGTGGATGTAGGCCCAGTCGATCAACTTTCAAGAGGTATGTGTGCCGGCCGGCGCGGCTCGCCCGCCGTTCAGTCGCTTCTAGGGCTGTCACTATTTTTCAGGATGTGTGTTACATTATAATATTGTACTGACACACAGTATACTTTAAAATGATAAAGTTCTTTATACTATATTTGTAATAAGTCCGATTTGCCATTATCGATTTTTGTTTACTTAACTCATAACCCATCATCATATTTGCAGTGAAAAAAAGTTACTTATTTTTTTTGTAACTTCAAAATAGGATTCAATTTATTGAGAAGCTTTATAATTTTTTGGTTTATTTCCAAGTAAAAAATACTTTTCTAAGCATTAAATGACAACCATTAAGACAAATTCAACAATGGCGTCAACATCAAAATGACATTTCTATTGTGAATACGATCAATGACAGATTAGCATCAAGCTGTTATTGGCCTGAATGACATCTGTCCCCATCAATCATCTTTCCTCCTTCATGCCAGCTTCAGCTATATAGATAACATCAGTCTAAATTACTTTAAAATATCTGTTGAAGATACTTTTTTTTTGTCTTGTCTATAAGTCAAACCCAAAATAAATATCTTCATATGCATACATAATACGAAGAAAAAAGTTTTGTCTTCTTTACGTGTGCAATCAGAATATATTATCTTGTCATATTTAATTTATATTTATCTGGACGTTGCATACATTATAAAGTATGTCTAGTTCCTATGGCAAATTGGCAGTCAAACCCAATATATTTATTAAATATATAAAATCAATATGACCAAATAATTATAGACTTCAGTAAAAATCCTTGCGATAGATTACAACACTTTTATATAAAAAAGGTGGTAACCCTGGTTCAGACTTGTACGCATACATCACTTCGATATTGCTAGAAAGCGTCCCTCTTGCTTGAGACACGGGAGCTTTAACTCAATATATGAGGCCAAAGTGAACTGCAAGCTATAAAACACGGCAAATAAATATCTTAATCCAATCGCAACATTCCCTTTATTTAAGTATAGTCTATAATAATAGAGAATAAATCGAGAAAATTTCATCTTGATTGGAAGTTATATTCTGTTATAATTAAAATTATAATATTAATACTTACGCTGTAGTTTTGGATTTATTTCTTTCCTGTAAAATAATTTATTAAAGACCAATCTTCATTAACCTAGAACAAGGCATAGCTTAACTAGGAAACGCCTAATCATAATTTTGAATACACGTACGAACGTGAGGATAGAGTTTTAAACATTTACATAAACATTTACAACAATTGTGTACTAGTCTAAGACTGATGATGAATGTGAAATTTTAAATATATATATAAACAAAATGTAACACAATAAACAAGGAACCTTTTGTCCAAAAACGGTTCCAGTTTATGCTGATATGCATATGCTGATGCTGGTCTTGTGATCAGCGTTGATCTTCCGCTGGGCCGATCTGGGTTTTTGTAAAAATTTTGAGAAAATCCTTTATTCATTAAACATAAATACTAAGATTTGTGTTTCGTTATTGCAGTTGTGCGGCTGCGGCGCGCTAAAACGGCGCCGCGATAATGTAACCGGCGCAGGCGAAACGTCTCCCTTCAAGGTAAGCCTCTCACAGCATTTTCTTTGCAGGTGTACGTTTAGTACACTTAATACATTCAAGCATTCCTATTTGAATCGCAATTCAATCTAATACGCAAGGATACCTCGATATTTGTTGATTTGGTATTTTTTTAATATTGAAGTTTCCACATATGCTTAACTTCAGTTCTTCTTCTTTAAGATAGGCCACAAATTTTAAGTTACTCTTTTTAAAATTGGAAATCCTCAACGTTAAAAAGATAAACGAGCATAGAAAAAATCTACGACTCCGAGCAGAGATTAATTCTAAATCACCGTAATAATTATATCTTTAATATTCGAATATTGCTTTCGCTTTCAAGATGTTGGTAACATTATTACCTTACTAAATTAATAAAAAATGACAATAATCGGTGAAAACTGAAAGTGACTTTTCTTTAAAGATTATGAATACTATAGTCTGTATAAAACAATAGAATATCATTAGCTTATATTATTCATATAAACTTACTAGCATTTCTCACGGGACTTCGCACGCGGAAATTATAGCCCGCGCATGATGTAGCTAACCGTAGGTGAATGAGTCCAGTAGTTGCCTATTCGATACAAACAAACAATCAAAACATTCCTTTTTATAATATTAGTATAGATATACGTACGTATTATATAAATTTTTCCGGTAGTTTCTCATTTGTATATTCAACAGGATAAAAAACTAGACTTGAAACATAGGTCACAGGGAGTGTCCGTGCGTCCATGAGACCGCGATGTACGAGTATTATTTGTTATTCACCGGCGAAATCTGTCGCTCGCCGCTTCCGACAAAGTCTGTTTCCCTTCCAAAAATATAAAGGTGATATTCCGAACACATCGTCTCGACTTGGTCTCGGTACGATGCATACGGTTTCGTATTTGCACGCTCGTTTACAACGTCCGTTTTAAAAAATGCATGTGTATCAGAGCGAACAGAGGACCCTTCCAGGCATCCGCGACCTTCTCGCTTGAATGCTCACTAATATACAGCTTAATGTCTCATTCAACTCTGACATTAGTTATTTTCATTAAATTCTTCAAAAGATTTTATTTAACACTTGCTTTTTGACAGCGGCTTCGCCCGCGAACGTTTAGTAGGATAAAATTTAGCTTATATGTTAATTCAGGCTTCCTAACACGAAATTTCATTCAAATCCCTCACATTTATGATATTTCTAGGATTTAATGTTTAGAAATCACGATGACCTCAACTTGTAAGTATATATTAAAAACTATAAAAATAGATTAACGTTATTATTTTTCTAAGTTCATGCACTTTAATTGCATAGTCGTTATCATAAAACGCGTTTAAAAAATCTAAACCATTCTAAAATACTGCAAATCTATACGTACAAAATCAAATGTTTTACCGCAAATCAGGTCATTTTCAATATTTATTCAACACACGTTCCGTTGAGTATTGCCAAAGTGCGTTGAACGCTGCTAAGCATTCTCTTAACGTGAGAAACAGTTTTATTGCTATACAAATTCTTCATTTCCAATCGGGTAAACATATGATGAAAAAATCATAATTGTAATAAAGCCGTGTCGTTGTATTAATATAATAGATATCCGCTTAATCCTAAGATAAGGTCATGCATCAAATTAAAATATAGGGAAGTTTCCAATCTTATAATGTAGATACTATTACCAAAAGATTAACGCGAGCCTTAATAATTAACGCGGGCAAAATCACGAGAACACAGATAGTATTCCAATTAAATTAACTCTAAACGTGGAAACATTAAAATTTTCATCTTTAAAGCAATTCCAATTGAGCTTAAAATTAAAGGTGGAGTGAGTTATTCTTATAAATAGCAGGAGTCGGTCGGGTATCTGATGCGTAGCGGAAGTCGTCGTACAACAGCGCACTTCGATTGCGACCGTCTGTTCTTTAATTGTTTTTCGACATTGATACATAACATTTGCTTGCGCCCTAAAACTCGAACTCGAAGGGTAATATAGTTAGACAGTAAGATAAACATCGCTATGCAACACTGAGTCGAGCATAGATTAAGAAATGATGAATAGTGGAACAAGGATAACCTACAATACAACAATACATGTATATCCTGTTTCTGGTCCCGTGGGAACTCCGACATAAAAATACTCTTAAGTAAATATAGTTAGTAATTGATTAATATCGGATTCACAATGCTATATACGCTATATTATCGAACACCCAGAGTGGTTGAATTTGTTGAGAAAAAAAACTGAATAGATCACTGATATTCGAAAATACTGAAGTTCGATTTTATAATATTCATTATAAATAGACCAGCCACACAGCAAGTTTTAGAGAAAATATATTATTTTAAAGTTAATTGAAACAAAGTAAGCTTCAGGATTACTGAAACTGTGATGACTGAAAAATGGAATATCTATAAGAATTATTGAAAGAGTAGAAACACGACTGTCATTGTTCTAATCTTATTTTATTTCAAGCTAGCTGTAGTATTAAACGAATATATTAAATTCTTTTTTCATATTTCGATACGTGAATGTGAACCTCAAATAATATTTCATATAGGTTTCGTGATTTAGTTTAGTTTATTTTATTTCCTAGAACCCATGTTTTATTCTGTATCACATACAAAGATATGAGAGGTTGTTATTTTCTTTCTTTCTCTTTTGTTATTTTAAAAGAATTTACTGAAATTGATATCAAATTGATTTACTAGCATTTGTTGTCCCATTTTTCATAATAATATTCTAAAATAGGTTTCATCGTGCCAAGCCTTTAACCAGTTTGTAGTTGGCCTCCTTCAATCTTTTCCACTTTATCCTATTTGCGGCTTTTTGAATCCAGTTTCGTCCGGCAACATTTGATATCATCCTTCCATTTCATCTGTGATCCACCAGATGGTCGTTAATGTTCCCACGGTCTCCATTCCAGTAGATCTTTGACACGTTGCCCTCCAAGCCGGGCCCCGGATCCTTCCCCCCACGCAAGGTCATCTCGCAGCGGGTTTTATCTGGAAAGCTTATCAACCTAGCTTCTCAGGACAGGTCCTAATGGATGGACCGTGCATGGGAGCCCCCTTAAATATTTGTTTAATTTTAATTTTATTGTTTACTATATGAAACAACTTTTAAACGGTTTCATCGCGTTTGTATTTAGCTTTAGACGTTTCGGACCCTTTACAGATTCTGTGTTCATAGAAAAATAAAGTGTTTATTATCCTTCTAATTAAGAGTATTGCTACCTTAAAAACCAATACTATTAGACATATTCACATATATTTTTTTATATTTTATGGCAACGTTAACATTAATACATTTGACTTACTATATTTGAAAATACATTTGGCTTATTTATTTACTACCATAATCTACCACCTGTTCCAACTTTGGGAGTCTTGTCTAAGAAGAACTGGCGAAACAAACTCCGACAATAAAAGTGAATTGCTCCCTTTGATTTAATATTTACATAATGAAGTAACTGTATCTTTTGATTTTGCAATGTGTGATCTGGATTGAGATTTTATTTCACTAATTACTGGATCCCAAACTGGTGGTATATGCCAACCTTCATCTCCATTAAAATTTGGATGTTTTTCATTTTATTTTTTTATTGGGATAAAATTTTGTTCAGCCTTTGTTTCATTTATGTTATTACCAAAGTTAAAAATTTTCTGTTTACACAGGTTGAACTTTAAAAATCATTGCTTGTATTGTCATTAAAGTTTTTCATTTCGTTTTGCTCACCGAAATAGACCTCCAGATGCGAGATGATGTAAAAACGATAGTGAAATTGTCTCGGCACACGCTGCGCCGAGGCCAGTCAGTAGGTCGGTACTCGTCGACACACTTGCCCACGAGACTGACAAATCATGACCGTCTGCAAAAACCTAATTGCGATCACTAACTCAAAGACATGTTCAACTACTATTCTCGATTTTTTTTTTCTAATAAAAATACTTAAAATATCTACTAGCTCCAAATAGGACTCGAACGCACGAAATTTTTCCAGCAGTTGTTACTTTTCGCCACTAGTGAGCTCAATCTAACCCAAGGACATAAATGAGATCTACGGTGGGACGAGCAATTTGTACATAAAGAGTTTACATATAAATTACCAACTAATGGAGAACTTCTTCTTCTCTGTCGTTTCGCTCTTGGCAGAGCGGTCGTGGTCACGTCGAGATATCCATGTCAGTATTAGAGGATCTTTCCCTATCTCCGGACTTTCTAGCACAGTCTGACACACATTCTCTCACTGCGGATTTTATTTGATCAGTCCAGCGCATAGATGATCTGCCGCGCGATCTGGTTCCCTCCACCTTTCCTTGCACGACTAACCGTTCTATGAAGTTGTTGTCGCGTCTAGAGTCATGGCCAAAATACTGTAGTATGCGCGTCTGTACTATAGTAGATAGACAGACGCCTTGTGATGCCGAGTTCTTGCAGAATGGACACGTTGGTACGAAACTTTGTCCATGATATGCCAAGCAATGGAGAACACCTTTTGGGATGTACAAAAAAAATTATTTTGAATTATTATAAGGAATTTAATTTATACCTAATAATCATATCAAAATGTACAAAGATTAATAGTAAATAAATGGAAGATCACGTAATAGTTCAATAAATTTATGTATAAAGTGTTCATTAAAAGTTACTAGCTTTCCGCCAGCGGCTTAGCCCGCGTGGTCTTGTATTATACATAAAAACCTTCCTCTTGAATCACCCTATCTATGAAAAAAAAACCGCATCAAAATCCGTTGCGTAGTTTTAAAGATTTAAGCATACATAGGGATATAGGGACAGAGAAAGCGACTTTGTTTTATACTGAGTATGTAGTGATGGGAAATGCTATCATCATTAGTTTTTGTATAGTATTAAGGACATGACATCTTGCTATGAATTAATAGAATTCATAACTTGTTTTATTTAATGCATATTTGTTTCGTAATTGTGGTAATTAAACTACCTGGAAACTGAATTTTAATATCAATGAAATAAGAAGACTTTCTCCTTAATTCTAAT